GGGGGGGGGGGGCTGCCCTTGGTCATGGCTGCGGCAGGGTGCTGGGGATGTGGGAGGGAACATCTTTGCATAGCTCTCGTGTGTTTTTAAGGTAATTGGAGTCAGCCATCAGAGTCCGGATGCTTAAACCAAGCGGGTAGGGGCTGATGTGGGCACCGCTCCTGAGGCTGCCCCAAATTCCTGTGTAATCTTGGAGTCTGGATGCTCTTCCCAGAAAATGCCTGTGACCATTTGTGTGTTCGGTCCCTTCCTGTGATCCAGGGACAGACTGCAAAACGGGACCCGACTTTTTTGGCCGGGACATTGAGGGAAATACTTGATGTCAGAAGAAATACCGATGGCTGGGGAGGCTTGGTGACAGACATTGTGAACCAGAGCGATGCTCGCCCTGTCGGGAGACAGAAACCTGTTTGGATAGGAACAAACCAGATGACGCCTGCCCAGGCAAAGCTGAACAACCCAGATATAGGTCCAAATTTCATATAGGGATAGTTAAATAATCAAAATGAAGTTCAGAGGGATTCAGTTGTTATTCAGCATGTAATTAGAACAAAGAAAAACGGGCAAGAGCTTCCATTTGCAGTGTCAAATACATTACTGGCCAGGCTTTCAAACCAACGTTGTGACCCACATCCTTCTGTGAGTCTCCTTTTCATCTTGCCTCTGCCCACGCTTAATCCTGCTGTTCACGGTTAGCCACACCAGGACCCGCTCCAGGTCCCACGGGCGGCATTGGCAGCCCCCACGCTGGCTTCAGTCGCAGCAAACCCAAGCTCCAATAGCCTTGATCACGGGCTTCAGGCGGCGAGCCTTGAGGAAATGACAGCGCAGAGACGAAAACCTCTGGCAATAAAACAGAAAACTCGATGTTTGTTGAGGTAGCTGAAGTGCAAATTAACCACTCCTTGTTCTCCTTGCAACGTTCGAATGAACGCACTGATGTAGGAACATCTTGTGGCCCAGGGCTTGGAAACTAGGTTGTGAAAAGGGACGGGGTGCTCTAGGTAGTTATCAAGGAGATGTGTCCATCTTGTGTGACAAGGACCCTCTAGATGGGAACCCACCAGCAAACCAGGCTGGAACAACGTAAGGAGCTGCCCCAGTGAGACTCATTGGCAGGATGCTGCCATGGCCCTTGGATGTTACTTAAACCTAAGGGACGTTTGTTCTGCTGCAAGAGAGGCTTGCATCGAGAGAAAAAAAAAAAAGGCATTAATTAGCTGTTTCCCACAAAGTGTTTTCATCAAAGGCATCAAAATAATAACTAGTGCCTCAGTGTTAAGTGAACCTATTAAGGATAATTGAGCAATGAATAAAGCAGCTGAATGCCCTCCTCCTGATGTGTCTGGCTTTTCATATTCATGGCACCATGTAATCTTTGGGTTGGTGGTTTTGCTCCGCATCCAAGCCGCTTCCCCACTTACCTGGCTTGGTGCCTCAGCTCCTCATCTCCTTGACTCTCGAGGAAGCCTGTCCTACTGTGTTCGTGGGCAAATTGTCCCCTTTCCTTTCACCCCATGAGGACTACCAGCAGCTTATGCCAGGCAAGGTAAAGTAATAGGAGCAGCAGAAATAGCATAATGAATAAAACCACCTCAATATCTGGTCTCCCACCACCTCCAAGATGCAATGGTCCTTTTGCTCCTAAACAGGAGAAATCCAAGTACCGATTAATAGGTGGTTGGAACTGTTGCAGAGGCGACACACCTAGCAAGATGCAGGCTTTAGTAGCAGGCTGCAACCAACTCCCCAGCCAAGGAGGCTTCTTCTTCTCGTGGCAGGAGAGCAGCTCTGGCCAATTTTTGGGTACCCGCATGGGGGATGCTGAAGGCAGAGTCAGGGCAGAGGCAGCTGTGATGGCCTGAGGGATGGTGTAGTGGGTGGGCTGAGGGATGGGGTGGCTGATGGTACAGGGGCAGATGTAGTGGAGGTACTGCAGCCCTTCCAGCCCCTTCCTGCCGAGCATCAGCCTGGCAAACAAAACGCTTTCCGTCCAACACACCCATGAGAGCAGACTAACGTGAGGGCACAGCAAGGAGTGCATACAGAGAAAATCATGCATTAGGGTGTTTAAGGAAAGCCAGGAAGGTGTGCTGTGAAGAGAGAGAGAGAGAAAAAACGTGTTTTTGAATAGTTTAGGAAAACAATAAATCCTATTCAGCAGCAGCTTTGAGTTCCCCACAAAACACGGCAGGACTCCTGCTCAGGAAGGGCAGCATCATATGGTACCCTCCTGCATTTTGGGAGCCCAGTGCAGCACCACCCGAGATGAGTGCCCTACACAGGGGCTCCACCTTGCGATGCTCATGTGTGCGACTCCCCCCCCACACACACACACTCCAGCACTGCAGCAGCTGGAGACCATCTCCCCACAAAGCCCCATGGGGTGCAAAGCCCCAAAAACCAAGCTGGGAAAACTGGGTTGCTGGTGGAACCAGACTAGCAGGCAAACACTCGCTTTGATGGATGTCCAAGCGGGCAGATGTTGACTTTGCAGATCCCTTTTGTTTGTCTTTGAGGGCAGAGAAACGGGGAGTTTTGATGATAGGAACAGCTTCGGCTGCTTCCCCGGCTGACACAGCCGATGTATATGCTCTTCCCTTGGTTTCTCCAACAGATGGTGTGAGCCTCAAAATGATTGAAGACCTGAAGGCCATGATTGACAACATCTCTCAGGAGGTTGCTCTATTGAAGGAAAAGCAAGCACTCCAGACAGGTAAAGGACTCGCTAAAGAAGGCATGGCTTTTGCTTTGAGAGAGGAGCTGCTTATAAAGTGGCTATGATTGCCCCACACACTGTAACAAGAGATGCCCAAGTGCCCTGCGACAAGGAGTCCATCTCAGGGACAGAGGTTGGGGCATCAAAGCAAAGCGTGGACTTGGTGCAATTCCTCCAGGCAGATGAAGCTCCTCAAGCATTTAATGACATGAGTTATGCAGTGTATGGCCCCCCTCTTTATGTGCGAGAGCTTCCCGTTTGTAAAGCTGTGAATATTTCTATGACGCTAAGCCAAATATTCATTTTCCTTTATGAATCAGAGGGATGAGTAATGGATTATTCCATACTTCAGTCAAATGTAGCTTAGCCTTTTGTCTGAACCCCAGTGAAATGGTGACCTGGTCTCTTATATGTACCGTGGTATTACCCAGGGAAACTCATGGAGGTCAGTCTCACCATGCTTCATTGAACACATACAGCGTGTTTGTAAAATGTCCATCTTCCAGCTGTGCTCCACAGTTATTCTGTACAAACTCCACCGACATTGATAGGAGAAGGATTTGCAGAACATGAAACAGAAATGAGATGAAAATGCAAGTTAAGGAGAATTTTCTCCTTAAAAGAAAAGGAACACAAGCAAAATCAAGGCTTTAGTTCCAAGCTCACATTCATTGGTTTGGATATTATTGCGTGGCTCTGATTAGTTATTGTTTGGCTACAGTACCCTGCTCTCTCAGGGTTTAGAGCTTAAAAAATAAATAAAAATTATATTCTTAACAATATAATCAGAGGCAAGTAGAAATTTCCTCTGAAGACCTCAAGCTATACAAGCACAACACTTCTCATCAAAGCCTATTAAAAAAGACATTTTTCTGATGCTTGCATAATTAAGATGGTTGAATTGAAATTGCAGGCTTTTTTCCAAAACACTCCCAACACCCGGCAGCGCCCATCACAAACCTGACCCCCAACAAACTCCTCAGAGCAAGCATAGCAGCAGCCGGGGAGGAGCGAGGCCAGGGAGAGGGTTAGGAGGACCACGTTGTGCCTCTTTTCCGGCAGCGGCACAGCTCGGGAGGGTGATGGGGGCACCCCGAGGTCCATTTTTCCCGACCGTTTGCAGACGGGGAAGGCAGGTCCCTGCAGCCATGCCCTGTGTAGGAGGGAGAGGGCACCTGGGACTCCCGTGTTGCCTAAGAAAAGAAGTTTGTAGTTTGGCCGCTGCGTTTGCTGCTGCTGCTGCTGCCTCTGCCTGGGTGCTGTTTTTAAAACCAATTCCCTTTCTGTCTTTTTTTTCTGTGTGGTAACCTCTCAGTTTGCCTGAAAGGCACCAAAATTCATCTAAAATGCTTTCTTGCGTTTTCGGAGACCAAGACGTACCACGAGGCCAGTGAAAACTGCATCTCGCAGGGCGGCACGCTCAGCACCCCTCAGAACGGGGAGGAGAACGATGCCCTTTACGACTACATGCGCAAGAGCATCGGCTCCGAGGTGGAGATCTGGCTGGGCCTCAACGACATGGCAGCGGAGGGCAAGTGGGTCGACATGACGGGTGGCCCCATCCGCTACAAGAACTGGGAGACTGAAATCACCACCCAGCCCGACGGTGGCAAGCTGGAAAACTGCGCCGCCTTGTCGGGGGCCGCCATTGGCAAGTGGTTCGACAAGAGGTGCAAAGACCAGCTGCCCTACGTCTGCCAGTTCATGATTGTGTAGCAGCGGGGGCTCCCTCCTGCCCACCCGCAACCCGGGTCTTCCCCCTTTGGCAGCAGGATTATAAAGCTATAGGTATGTGTACGTGTACATGTACGCATGCACGCGCGCGCACATGTTCAAGTAGAGTCACTCTTTTTTTTCGGCTCGGTATCAGATTAGAGAGCGTTAGAGCATTTTGTTTGGCCACATCCAGCCCCATTAGCAGCTGCATTGTTCTTACTAAGGCACGATTTATAGATATATTTTTTTACACAGGGAATTTATTAGGACGGCTCATTTGTTTCAGCAAAGAACCAGTGCAGCAGTCCAGCCTGGCAAACAGACACCTCAGCTGCCTGGGGCTGTCACTTTGCAATGTCCTTTCCCATCTTGCTGAGCTTCACTGGGACACCAGCATAGCTAGTTCCCGCTTTCTTCTCCTGTTTTGCTTCCCCGTAAGCCCTGACAGTGAGGTACGTGGGATAGATCTTCACGTCCCTCGTGGCGCCCCAATTCAGGCTCCTGGGGATCGAGGTCCTGGCTCGATGGGTAGAAGGATTTACTCCTGCTTTGCACTGAGATATACAATTGGGCTTATTGGCTGAATACCAGCTGCTCAACAGGTTGTCCGACTTGTCCAACTATGTGTATGAATGAGCCAGCAAGTAACAGCATGGGTTGACTTACTGAGAAGGGCATCCTTTCTGGAAACATTCCCCATTTTGTGTCCTTTTCTCATCAGTCAGAAGCCAGTTTCGCTGATTTCAGTGGGAGAGCTAGACCCACTCTGAGATCTTTAAAAAAAAAAAAAAAAAAAAAATCCCATCAGAAGCGTTATTTCTGCTCCAGCATCATGGGGGAAGCAGTGATGACTTACAGCATAGTCAGTCAAATGTTTTCTTGGAAATAGAAGGTGAAAATATTAGGTAAATCACAGAAATGTAATGTTATTAGGGGTAAAAGACAAGCCCATTGAAAATAAACTCCAAGAAGACTCACTTTAGCGGCTTTAGGAATCACACACCCTGTTTAAGTGATGGAAACCCAGCTGAAATACTCCAGTCTTTGTTGATCCAGGCACAGTCCTCAGCAAACATAAATCTGCTGAGCGCTGTTTGTGCCAATAAAGTCATGCCCAGCTGAAGGTCTGTACTCTGTAATTTTTTACTGAGAAGAGAGTTAAAGAAAAAAAATAAAATTGAAATAAACAGCAATGATGGGAAAGAAGTGCAGGCCACCCTGACAGCTTAACGAAGCTTTGCTGGCTGTTGGCCGAAAGGTATCAACGGTTCTTTGCAGATCAGAGCTTGGTAATAACCCCTCCAGTTTGGGTCACATCCCCTGCGCTGCCAGGTCTGGTGTGTCAAGACATGGTGCTCCTGGGGACCCCATGGGAGAGGTATTTCAATTTGCTGCTTTGTTTAAAAACAGCACTATGGTGGGTCTTCCAAGATGTCAAGTGGGAGAGCCAAGCTGGAGGGATCAAAACACACACACACAAATGCAGAGTGCGCACTTCAAGGCTGTCACTATTGCCAAACTCTCCGCTGTTCAAATGACTATAAAATAAAATTATATATATATAGCTTGCTGAAGGAACGGAGTTGCGTCAATGTGATTGGAATGCTTGCTTCTCCTTGCATTTCTCTTCGGAGCAGCTCCAGGGACCTGTCAGAGGGTCAGAGATATCAAAGGCAGAGGGGAAAAGCAGAAAGCAAGAGCATCCCACCCTGGGATATGGTTTACAGGATTTCCACCTCCCCTCTTATCATCCCAGTCACATGCCACACGCAGGATACAGGCAGGGAATCCTTTTATAGGCAAATAAGATTTCCTTCCTCGCCTCCTCTTGCTGCTGGGGAAATGTCACTCCAAAATACGAGCCAACCCAGAAGAAAGGTCCTTCCCTCGCCCCGTTTGGCAGCAGTAGTGGTGCTGGGGGGAGGCGGCACCTCAGTTCCCAGAGTGGAGCCCGCACTTCCTAGGCTGCCTCCCACCTCCTCCGCCACAAGCAGAGCTGCAGTGGCACCAAGCATCCCTCTCCATCCCCCACCAAGGCAGTGATGACTTCTTCCTCCTCCTCCTCCTCCTCAGCATCCTGCAAAGGAGAGAAGGCCATACATGAAGAAGACAGTGCTTCACACCAGTCTAGGAGTTTTCACCTGTGGCAGAACTGCACGTGAAATTAGGTCTCTTCTGCACAAGAGCACAGACCTTTGTCTAGCTTTACTCTGGACCCTGATCCTGAAGGTTTCCAAGGCTCTTTGCTGTAGGTCATAGTTATACCCTACAAGCCAGCTTGTCTCAGTATGAATCCTCTAGTTCCCTTGGCAGACGATCCCTCCATGTTTTGAGATATACATGAATGCAAAGCAGCAAAGTCAGAAGCGTTTCCAGCTTTGATCCTGACTGGTCATAAACCACAACGTCTTAAAACACAACTGTGTGGTCAGAGAAATAAACAGAGGTCTTTTATGCGATGGAACTAAAGAGAGGCGATGTGAAAGCCATGGACCCTGGCAATGCTGAGCTTTGGGGAAGATGCGGGTGCTGTAGCTGGACCATCTCTGTGTGGAGTGCAATGTGAAAAACAGCCATGGAGACGGATGCCAAAGGATATTCCCAGAGAGGACGTTAAAGAGTCAATCTGTCAAAATCTAGAGAATAACAAGTTGCTCGTATCTCTCTTCCTCTCTGTTTTCACATAGCTACACTCCTGCCAGCACCATTCTTCACAGATGTTTTGCTCTTCTGAAGCTGGGAGGAGCAGAGGGAAGGGTGGCTTTGCTCCTGCCCTACTTGTTGGACCCAGGATGCCAAAACTGACCTTGCAGTTTCAAGGTGGCATTTATGAGTTTAATATTATTCTATGTGCTTCTTCTTAATGTACATTATGAAGTACAAATTTTCTTTTAAAAGCCAAAGAAAAAGAAGTTCTAGAAGATTCCTCACCCTTGCTTACCACAGCACTCTTTTTTGTTTCTTTGTCGCCAACCCCATATTTTGTGCTCACAGTGAATACCAGGGTGGAGGGGTTGAACGGGGCGACACTGGCTGCCTCTACTCCAGCATGGCCCGATGGGAACTGCCTGGAGCAGATGGGGTCCATCTGCTGGGGGCTGGGACAAGCATCACTTTTTTGATCTTCCGTTAAATCTTTTTGGCACTCAAGCCAGAGAGGAACATCTGCTGTCCACAAAGCACGGTCTCAACCAAAGGCATGCAGACTAACGGAGAGAAACGTGAGCTCTTCCCCAAGAAAAATAAATGTGGAAATGATCATGTCTGAACCAATGTATTGTGACGCCTGCAATCTCAAATGAAAAATGAGAGACGTTGTGTAAGATCTTGTGCGGCTGATTGCGCTGCTCAGCTGCCTGCGACTCCGTAATATAGCAGAGGAAAGATGAAGCGTGAAGTGTGCATATATTTGTATAAACAAAAGAAGAGAAGTTACTGGGTGAGCCCCCAGAGAGCATTACCCCAGCACTACGCCATCCACAGTTGACTTCAGTAGAGCTATGCTAATTTACCCAACTAATTGCCCCGACCCCAGTTCACCAAGGTCCTGAAGTACAGGCAAAGGGCCAAATAGTTAAAAGTAAAATGGTTAACCATAAAACTGGTAATGCTTTTCTGAGGTATCCCTCTGAGCAAGGGCCAGAACAGCACACTATTAACACATGTCAACACCCCAGCCAGCAGCCAGGTTGCTTTGGGCTTCGGTCAGTAAAAGGGCAGGTGCGCAGGTAGGCAAAGGTGGGTAAGAATTTGGGAGTCATGAACCAAAAGCTTGTTTTGAGCCTTGAATGCTTTTGTGGGACTTGGTCCTTAGCAGTCTGGGGTTACTTTGGATCAAGAGAGTTCGGTGACGTGGGAGAAGGACCCCAAGCAGACAGAGGGAGAAGATACACAGCCAAAATAAGCACCACAACCCCACGCCTCTTGCTCCTTGTGCCTGTCTGCTCAGCCTGGGAGTTACTCAGACCTGAGTCTCTCACTGTGTCAAATGTAGTCTTTCTCCATCGTCTTTTGCAAGGAACAGCTCCCAAACACCTCTGCTCCTGCCTGCCACAAGGAGAAGGCATTTCCCACCTCTGACTGTGGGATAAGACCACAGTCTTGTAGGATGCTCCTCAAAAGGGAAGGAGCACCTCCACCCTTGCACCATTGAGCCTTGTTATTCCTATAGGCTCTACTGTTTGGTCCCACTCCTACGTAAGCACTGGACTCCAATTCAGCACTTGACCTCTCATCTCTCCTTTTGCAAATAAAATAAAAAACTAAATTAAAGTTACATTTCTCTAGCTCAGAATCCTCCACAGGCAGGGAAGAAACACAGATCTGTGAGGATCAGCAGACAAGGGTAAGCCAAACGACCACTGGGAGCATAAACATAAAACAGTTGGGGGTCACTACACTGATGAAGAGCATAAAAATAATCTCCTTGGGGGCAGAAGATAAAGCAGTGGATGAAATAATATCAGACTATGGTGTACAGAGCGAAAAAATAGTGCTTCATCCCCTTTATCTCCAGTATAGAAGTACCCGGAGGGAGTCCAAAGGTAACAGCTGGGGACTGTTGCAAATACAGCTAAAAACAAAATTACAAACATCTAAGGCATGACTCACACCAAGCAGCCTCGCCGCTCTGTCCTGCTCTGTGCAAACAGGTCGGTGGCTGCATCACCTCCCTGCAACCCCCCAGACACGCACTCGCGGCTCGGGGCATCGGTGCTGGTGGTGACCGTAAGGCACCCAGCACCTGCAGCCTGGGTGCTCGCTACCCAGCACTGTACCCTCGACATCCAGCCTCGCCCGAGGAAGAAGACAAAAACCCACAGGTGACCACACTGCCAAGAGGTGAGGCCAACTGCTAATCACACAAAATACTTGCTTTTCCTTCAGCCCTGTTAGGAAGCTAACCCTGAGCCTGTTGAAGAGAACAAAACACGCACGCCGCTTGCCAACCTTGGAGGCTGGCAATGCAGAACACGTCTCAAGAAGCTATGTTTAGAAAACACTGTTTGGAAAGTGCTATGTCTTATACAAGAAAATGCAAGAGG